CCCCACCACATAAAAAAACAATGAAAAAGTATAGCGATTTTAACGATCAATTATAATGGAGCATTAAGTATTCATATATTTTTAATCAAAAATTTTAAAATCGGATTTGAGTATAGATTAATTTCCACCAACACAACTTAGATTATATGAAAGTCCTAATAGACACATAGTAGTTTAGATTAAAAGTGACCAACTTCATTTCTGTTCGTGAAAAATCAGTCTAACAGTCGAGTGAACTTATATTTTAATGTTTACGAGCAAAACTTAGTTTGAATCTACTTTCGCACACCTTCATTACTTTTTGTATTTGATAAAGGTAATCCCCTCGGATCCACAATATGACATGTGTGTTTACGAAAATTCAATAACTTTTATCTACATCTTATATATGTGTTAAAATTTATTAAAATATTTTATTATAAACTCAGTAATTATCATACATATATTAACTCAAACGTCAGTTTATGAACTCATGAACTTCAAATTTTGCGTCCGTCTACGATTTCATATGTAGATTAATTTTTATAGGCAAGGATGCAAGTGAAGAGTTTGAAGAAGCAGGACATGGGAGTGCATCAAGATTGATGCTAGATGAATTCTATGTGGGAGAAATTGATCCTTCTACAAAAAATAATGCCACTTTGGAGACCACTTCATCAACAAATTTTCTTAAAAAACACAACAAAATTGATTATTATCAAGGCAAGTCATCTTGGCAAAATAATGTAAAACTTCTTCAATTTTTGGTGCCAATTGTAATCTTGTTATTTGGAAGTACTTTATTTAAGTTCTTGTATTGAAAGTATGGGGGGGGGGGGGGGGGGAATAATTCAAGTGTGTTTGGGGTTTCACTTTCATATTTGTGTCAATTATTGAAGGTTCATCAAAAATAATTGATTTTATACATTTGAAACAATCTTCATGTTATTAGGTTAATTTTTGAGGTTAAATTTTGTTTTTTTAAAAAATTATAATATATAAATTAACTTTAATCTCAATTCTTAATTTGTTTGATATTAGATAGAGAAAATTAAAATCCTTTCCAAGTGGCCCCAAAACACAAAGTATGACGACAAGAGTCCTAAGAAATAATCACCATGATCATAACATATGTAGAATAACCAATAACATTCTATGTGAAGAGAGGCCAAATTAATCATTTTTCCCCTTAGAAAACTTCATCATTTGTCTCATACTATCTGTCGTATTTTTTTTATGTTTTAAACAATTCTTGAGAAAATATAATTAAAAAGAAAATTTAATTATTTTGCCTTAAATATATTACTACATTGAATTGTTGATAGTTTTGAATAACTAAACTTGTTTAAACTTATATTAAACATTTAAAATTACATATTATTTTTTTAAAAAAATCACAATAAATAATTTGAAACAATCGATATTTGAGAAGGATTGGAAGGTTTTATATTCTCAATGAGGAAATAAAAACATTAATTGGTTATGACCAAATGTACACCTCACAACACAATCTAAACAAGTATATACTCACTATATATATATGTATATATGCATGACAACTCTTGTAAAAAGGCAACATGTAATTAATTTGTGCATCATATTGGCATGTATTGCTACAAATGCAAACTTCAATAAAGTTACACTTAAATGGGTCTATAAGTAGAATATAAACAATTTTACATTATTTTTGTTGACAAATAACATAAAATTTGGTGTGATCCAAATGAAGACCACAACTTAATAAAATGATATTAGATTAAAAAAAAATACAAACTTAATAAATTGATCTTAGATAAAAAAAAAATTAAGGTCAAGAATTAACGTAAAAGACTAATAGATATAGTCGAGTGTTGTCACATATATAGTTTCTTACTCTTTGATGTATTAATCGTTGCAATTATTTTGCATCGAATATATACTTTTATTTTTCAAGACTTTATTAGAAAAAAACTTTCTACTCCAAAGAAATGTAAATATTATATATCTTATTCAAATTTTACTTATAAAATTACACTAAATACGATAACAAACTATTACAATAGACAGGTAAATTTCTTTACTAATTTTCTATTTTATAAGTGGAAGAAGACACTGGCTGACCTTAGTACTGTTCATAATGCACAAATCTCCACATCTTCCAAAGTCTTTTGTAGAAGTGGGCCCTTTACATAAAAAACAACCAAAAATAGTTTTAAAATGTGAATTTTTTAATTTTAAAAGGGTGAAAATGTTTCACCTTATATTGTTGAGTTTTAGCCTCAATAAATATTTAACAAGTTTCATTTTTGATGATTAATAATATCACTTTTGACCTATTTATCATACTTACTTGTATGTTTGAGTTTATAGAGGACTTAATCATTTAAAACATATTCAATTTATTAAGGACTTAATCACACTGAGTTTCGAAGTTAATATCGTAAATTGTATTGTTTGTTAAAGATATAATTAAATAATGTTATTATATAATATATATTCCTGAATATAAATATATTTAGTCCCTATTTATCAAATGTGTTACTTTTTCTTTTTTTATATTGTTCCTAATTGTATATTTGTATTGAAAAATATCAAGAATTTTTAAAGTTAAAACTCAAAAAATCTGATTAAATTTTAATCACTCGGAGTTTGATATTCACTTTCAAATCCAATTGATCTGAATTTGTGTTTTTAAACTCCTTTTTGAGGGAGTATTTTATATTTTTAAATATAAAAAATTATTTCAAAATTTTTAATTAAAAATAATTTTTATTTTTATGTGGGGGTTATGGTTTGGGGGGGGGGGGGGTTGTGGAGCAGTGTAAAAGCAAACTTATTGTGGGAGACAATATCTTTTAACAAGAAAGAATAATTGGTTAACAATGCCCACTTAAGTATATATGATGAGATAAATCACTTTTTAAGTGAAAATTCCCAATTTCACAAAATTAATAATGTTTATTATAGAAATATTTCACATAATTGATGATGCCATTAAAGAAATAACATAAATCCACTATATAATCTTCCAACTAACCCCCCCACCCCCAAACACATCATCCAATTGCTTTTTAATTAAAAGTGTATTTTTTACTAAACTAAAATTTTAGTTTGTTTGGATTATTTTTCAACAAAGGTGAAGGGACAAGAAGCTGCCTAACTTTTTAAACTTATTTTCTTGGGATTAATGAAGAAAAAACACATTATGTGTCATTTGCTTATGACTCTATTGCTTTTTAATCTAAAAAGTCAATTCCTTTAGCATTATTACTATTATCAAACTACAAATCATTGTAAAAACAATCGTCGATATATTATTGAGACTATTTTCAAATCCTATGTGAATGCAAAGTACAACTTTTCAAAGCTTATTATGAACACGAAATGTTATATACATCGAACGAATATACTTAATTTTTGTAGAGTGGGGGCAAGAAACAGTATAACTCCAACTATCTTGAGTTTCCACAAAACACACTCTGCTATAGTCTATCTCTTTTTTTTTATGTTTTTGGCTTGTGAACAAGATTTGCAAATCAATCATATAGAGGTGTTTGTACCATTAATATAGAAAAAGTTAAACCAGATAGACATGAAAAGCAGGCAAATGAAAAAGAATCTTCCAACACATATCCACCAAACATAGAGGCAACCCCACCACATTTCTCTCACTAACAGCTGAAAAAGGGCAAGGTTTTCAATTAAGACCTTATTATCCCCACATCAATGACAACAACCACTTCAATTTTTTAATCATCGTGGTGTCTGATTCAACTTGACTTGCGTGCACATCAGATAACAATATGAGACCTAATGGTTCTTAATTCAGTTCATTGAATATAATGTTGTGTATCTCAACTAGTCACCTCTACTAGCAATAAATATCAGATAACTCTTTCCCGCAAGGACAATATGAGACTTTATGATTCTCAACTCACTTCATTGATCGACTAATAGTCCACACACCCTTGGGTGCAAGTTGAGTTCATGAAAGATACATGTGAAGCAACAGTCCAAAATTCAACCATACATTTTCTCATAATAGGATAAGAGGAAAAGACAGTAATGAAGAAGGGTAAACTTTGAAGCTCAGTTTCATTCATCACAGATATGGACAACAAAGGTTGGGTTGAGGGATAGGGGGTGAGGGTGGGGGTGGGGGTGGGGACTATATCATATTATAATGGAAACAAAGATAACTAGACTTTTACCTCATGTACTACAACACTATCACTAACATTGCCATTATGACTACAAGAATCAGCCCTTTGATGTTCTGTTAGACAAAGGATCTCCTTTATATTTGTTGCACTAGTTTTGCCTTGCAGTTTATTTTTATTAGTTGGTGTCAAAATCTTATATACAATTTCAATTAATATGTTAGCTGATAAAAATAGATATTAAAATATATCGAAAAATATAAATTTCTAAGCATAATAAATATTAATCTTATATTCAAGATGAATTTAACGCGCAATTAGAAAATTCTACATATATCATAAATTGACATCTACAATTTAAGTCCAACACCCATGCAATTCTAAATGCTTCATGGTAAAAAAAAATTCTATAATGGAGAAAGAAAGCAAGAACGATAATTAGAGGATATTATTACAAAAAAAGTCTTCATGCTCTGAAAAAAAGATTTTGTTATTGCTAGAGACAACATAGTAACATGTAATTGTTCATTGTTTAATACTACACATGTAATTTACTCTTTTCTTCCGCTGCTATTTTTTCTTCTTGATTATCAATTATTCAGCATTTATTTCAATTGTGCAATTTCCGATTGTGAGCTTTCGTCTCTGTAAGTTGGTTCTTAAATAGCATTAAGAAATGACCCTTTAAATTCAAATTTTAATTTCTGAAATTGGTTTCTACCTTAAATTAGTGATGAATGATTTTTCATATCATAATTTTTCAAAATCTTCCATTATGAGATTTATGATCACGATTAAAAGTTGTATAATTTCTACATGAATGACTTTCCATACCATAACTTATCAAAATCTTTCATTCTGAAATTTATGATTGCGATCAGAAGCAATATCAATATACTCATTTATTAATTTAGAAGAGAAGCAAAATGGTAATTCAACTTTGCGATTTGGATCTTCCCACTTAATAATATATGATAAATTCACACACACTGTTATGCTACAGATTCACTAGTCTTAGTCTACAGTTTAGAACTTGCTGTACTAAATTCTTTACAAGGGGTGACTGGAAACAAAATATGACCATCACCAAGTAGGACTAACTAACAATCCTTGCTGTTTTCCTACCTTTATCTAGAGTTCTAGACCTAAAGATCAAACAACAAGTCCTTCTGGGATGCCGATGCCCGATACCATATGTCCATATCTAACCATCTAGTTCCAACCGCGTCTAACGATCTACTTTCACCCATTTGTAACGTCCAGGGAGGGGCTTGTCGTTCACCGGATCAAAGTTGTACCTGGCACACCACACCAAAACAGGATTCAATTAGAAGAAGAGGAGAAATCAACACTTGAAATATTTCGAGTGGTGAAAATACCATACTTCTCAATGAATTGTTTCTGCTGCTTCTCTTCTGTACCAGCAAAGAAGTCGTTCATTTCATGAGCTGTTGGGATAATTCTTTGCGCTGAAGTTGGCTCTCTGCCGTTACCTTCGCTAGCATTGTTAGCTCTTGTACTGGAACCAGGGGTTGGTATGCTATCCGGGTCCCTGATCAAATTACAAGGTGTGCTCTCCCTGGTCGTCCTATAAGAAAGCGTAAAATCCTCTTATTAGTGCTAATCATATGAACTAATTCACCTTTGCCCTTGAAATACACGAAGTATGGACCACAAGGGTCTATAGTACGCAGCCTTACCCC